GGCACAAGATTAACATATAAGCAAAATTCAAGGGAATCCATAGTAGTGATTAGAGAGTGGTAGTCATACTAAGTAGTTGGGAGAGATATGAATGAAAATATCTTCCCAAATAATGTCCGGTGTGGAGGAGCTCGCATAGCAGCTGACTTTAATATGTTTGGGATAAAAGAGGACTTATCCACCAAAAAGACGAGGGAAACCCACGTAGCCGAAAAGGGCGAATTCCCAAGTCGATATAAGCTCGAGCTCAGTGTAATGACAGTTATGTGAACAGATGAGATACAGTTGTGTCGTGTTCCGCTTTGATCAAGGATGTACCATTAATAATCAACATTCGAATAAAAGACACGCAATAAGTTCCCATCGCGCCAGAAAAAATCAAAGGAAGATATATAAGCGTCTGAGAAAAAAATGAGACATCAACACTGGAAAGCATCAATCTCCTCCTGTCATCATCATCAGCAGCAATACATCAGGCATCATCATCAACAGCAGTACATCAGGCATTTGAACTGGTGCTTCGCTGCCATTCAACCACGAGGACCTATGAAATAAAGAATAAGAAGAATACATCAGGCATTTGAACTGATGTTTCGTTAACGTACTACCACAATGACTCATGGAGAGACGGGGGCCTGGTGTAAAAAGCAGACGTCCTCAGGAAACATTCAGGGTTAAGCACCTACACCTTGCCAACAAACAGTTAAGGACGGCTGGATATCGTGCAAAGCAACATCGGCAAGACAGATTCCATGCGGCTTTCACTGCCCTGCGTAAAAATCAACCATTATGCCACAGATAACGCAGCTCCAAACATACTTTAAACAGATGGCCCGATTAGGAAACAACAGTAGAAGTGTCACTGATGCGGACTACAAGCCATGTCCTGTAAGATCTCGAGCAAAGCACAAGGTGGATCATTTGGACTCCAGGCTGGAAGGCGAGACGGACTAACAGCATACAGTTTGGTAGTCCGTAACATCATTTCTCATTACCAATTTAGCTTTTATCAACCAGTTTCTGTCATAACAACGCCTAAGTGATTTGATAGCGGTGCGACGATGTGGTCTGATGACCCACAGTGTTTATGTAGATAATACGGACAAAACCCTAGCCGACCACACAAAGAAAAAATTGTGAGTATACGGGTGGACCAACAAAAGAGTCCGAAAATTTTAAAAATTTCCAGATCTAGATTGGACAGTCGGATGACAAGCGGAGAGTTACCTGCAGCCCCAGTAATCCGTTGAACGCCGATTGTGTCATGTCCGCCGGACTGGTCATGTGGAAGAGCAGGTTGGGAGCGTTGGAGGTCAGCATAAGCGCTTGTATCCAAAACAACGGAGTCCTCCGACTCAGGTTTCGCGACATCAGTTAGACCAGAATCAGCTGTTAATGGCTGCATAGTAAAGAGTGGAGCAAAGATGAAAAGTGTGAGCCCTTGGAAAACTCGGTGATGTGTGATACGGAGTGTAATGGAATCAGGGGTGACGCTTTAAAAGTAAAGCTGGGATCGCAGTGCATGAGAAGATAGACTGAGATGATAATATACAGTTTCTGCACTTATCGGTATAGTTAATCGCCTCGCGAGTATCATCCCGAGGCGATCTTGAGAAAGTTCCCCTAAGGAGAACTAGCAGGACAAGTAACCGGATACTAACGACATTTGTAGTTGGAACTGGAGATGAAAGGGACCAAGTAGATGTTGTGAGTTTTAGGCAAAACTTTAACGGTGTGACGGCCAATGAGACGACATTTGGCATGACAACAGACCTTCTAGAAGCGAACAACCAAGCATACACCTATTGGTGTTTGTGTGAGTGACCGTGACAGATAACAAGGGATTATACAGATGGAAAAGGACCATATATAAAGTATTGCTGGGTGCCGCCACTTCGTAACTCCACGGCTCCCTTCGGGTTTGCTTGAACTCTTCAAGTACAGATAGCAGTACTGCAACTAAAACCCGGAGTGTAGAGTCTGCTAGTCTAAGATTTAGTCGTGTCACTGAGTCGAGGGCAACTCTTGTCACAACGAAGTGTGACTCATCGGCGCCTCCTCTGAAGCACTTGGCAGTGGCAAAAAAGATCACAAACCTGTCTTGTAATCCGAGGGTGCGGGTTCGAACCTGGGTAGGGGACCGAGCGGCCTTCGCAGTAACCTCGGACCATGCGCGGCCGTTGATGTTTGCGCGGCAGCAAAGCGTCGGTACTGCGTGCCGGCGTACTGCTGATACCATACCTTACCACCTTACTCGTTGCGTGCACGGACTGCGATAGGCACTCTCAATGAGGATCGCGCTTCACGGTGCGAAAAGCTGACCTCACTACGACCCCAGTGACCGAACTGATCGTAATTCACTTTGAAACGAAGTAAGGTCAGCATGGGGGTTACGTAGCTACTCCATCGTTCCAATCAACTGGATGCAAACACCGGAATACAACACATTGATGTAGGTAATCATGGTCAAACACACGAAAGACGTGAGTTCGTCATGCGGATAGCCCACATGCAAAAGACGGTCAGGTGTATTCTAGAGCCTAGTTCCACCAAGCAACGATCGATGGTTTCCAACACTCCTCGCATAGTGCTTCTCATCGGGTGTAAGATAGTACACAATTGAATACAGTGACGGTGTTTCTAACCCCTACGGTAGCCCTAAGCATACCGAAGTGATGTATACCCTGCTCCTGAATGAGCGGATGACGTCTTCTCCAAGTGTTATTAAAATCCTGAAAAACTAAACAAGCCTTGCTGATTTGCTCAGAAACCACTCCGAGGTGACAAACCTAGCTAAATGAAAAGTCCATAGTTGTGCATTTAAATTAAATGTTTAGAAACCGAAAAAATTGCCGACCTTTGACTGATAAAGGATGATGAAAAATCACTCGTACGTGGGGGTATTAGAAATCATCGATCGGAGTGCAAAGTGTATACTCAGATGAGAAAATCGGCAGAAATAAGGGGGAGTAGAAAGGGTAACTGACATACAATGAGGAACGTATCTCTAATATGCTAGGCATCGCGCCAAGAATAAAAATGACATGAGGGCTGAACAGTCAATGAAATTGCTACAGGGCCTGTGAAATATCCATGAGATGGTGACGAACCAAGTGATGCATGTGGAACTAACCCGAAACGGGGAAATAATCAAGGTGCATGCTGTATTACAACAAACGGAAAATGAGAGAGAGAAAACGGCCATAGTAATGAATATAGTAAAGGTGCATTAAATTGCCAGGAGTACTGTAGCATTGAGAACTTAGAATGCTTGCGTTCCAGCATGAGAGGAAAACTAACCATGACAACTAATGTGGATAAGATGGGAGCCATCGGACGGTGTACAGCCAAGGCAAAACAGCAACTCAGCTCATACAAAGATAAACCCGTAGCCGAGGTCACAGCACCGGGCCGAGACAGACATGAGGTGGGTGATAAGTTGTGTGAGATGAACAGACTGTAAATGGTGCGCGATGTAACAGAATGTCTGTAAGCAGATGACAACAGTGTCAATGGGGATGGACGTACCAGTTCACTGAGTAACCGATCCCGGGCGTCCAGAACGATTTTGTGAAGATCGTGAACGTATTTTCGCACCAAAGGAGGAATAGGGTTACAGCAGGCGAACAACCCAGAGCTTTCTCTCGGCAACACTTCAGAAATCACTTTTAACATGTGATTTGGAAGCACATAACTAAAGGTACAGAGAGAAGAACGTGAACAGTGGCGAAGAAATGAGGCAAAGCAAGTGGAAATGTCGCAAGACGGAACTAACTGGCGATTTCAGGTACAAAAGTGTACAACACAACAACCATATTGATCTAGGGAAGGAAGAATAATAAAAGGGAGAGAAAGGGGATCCAGTGTAGAACCTAAGTGCCCTAAGCAAACATCCAGGCGCCTACACTATGACAAGAACACAGTTTCAAACAATCTGCTATCGTACAAAGATAAGGCGGCATCAGCGAAACAGCTTTTTTACGACTTTCACTGCCCTGCTTCAAAGTCATCCATTACCCCACAGACAAGGCAGCATTAAACACAGTATCAACAGGCAGTCGGACTAGGAAACGACAGTAAAAGCGACACTGGTACCGAATACAAGCCACGTCCTGTAAAGTTTCGAACCAAGCACAAGGTGGGGCACGCGGACGCCAACTTGGGAGGTGAGACGGACCGACGGCATCTAGTCTGGTCGTTAGTGACTTCATCTCCCGCTGCCAAGTTACCTTTCTCCCACCTCGAGCCTTGTTCTACCCAACATTCGGCAAGCAGAACAACGTAACCCTCAGTAACCGGGCATACGTAGCCTTAGTCAACGCAAAGTATTCAGTGTTATTTGTTGTTCTGAAGAACTAAGTTGATCATATCCGCTTGGTACTCGCCTGCGTACATCATCATTGCGGACACCCTGGTGTTCTCCGACACCCATAATGCCTCGCAGGCAACGGTGATCGAAAAGTTGAAAGTGCCTCACATCCTCTGACAGAAGGAGCAGTGTTACTCCCATAGAATAGCTCTCCCTGTGACTTAGGTCTGAAAAGTCGTGCATTGTACACGAGAGACGTCGCAAGTTTACGAAGGTAGCTCTAGGTTTCGTTGCTAATGCAACAGCCAAGGTAGGCGAGGTGGTCAACTACTTCTCGGTCTCCGTAGGCAAGAGTAAACTTATCATTGTAGTGTAAGAATCGTCATCGTCAGCCGGATGTTCACAAACCCAGCACCGGCTGTCTATACGTACGCGAGTGAAGGTGTCTACCGCTCACGCTCATTGGTGAACAGCTCTGTTACATGATCAATGCGCTGTTTATCACTATTGTCACAAGACACGGTACGTGCTATCAGCTAGGCGTGTTGCATTGCCATTTGCGGTTACGAACCATTGCTGTATTCATAAATCTAGCGCTAGTTACACACGTGTAAACTTTAGCAATACTCATCCAGTGACTGGTAGTCTTGCAGCAATACTGCACTTTGAAAGTGCGAAACTCATGCCAACTGATGAGACCACTCCAGAGAGTTTATTTACGGTTGACTGAGCTGGCTCGCGGCTAAAACAACAGCAAAATATTGTCCGCGAAAACGAGATCAACGAATTTGCCATCAGGCAATGGACACTCCATGATGAAATGCATGAAAAAGTTAATTACGCCAAAAATCCCCTACCCATGGGCGCATTGAAAGTAAAGCAAACTTAAGGAGATCCGACAGCCCTGGCGAACGCCACCTTCTGTCGGAAATATGTCTGATAATACACTGTAGACCCTAACATGACCTCCGGTGTTCGAGTACAGCGCACATAGAAAGTTTACATAGTTGATGGGAATACCCAACCGAACAAGTATGTCGAACATAATGGATCCGGCGACTATGTAACACACTCTTGAAATCGAGGAACACATTAAATATCGACATGCGGCAAGTGCAACGTTGCTCTGGCACCTATCTTAGTGAATGTACAGTCCATATAGCCTCGTCCTGGGTGAAAACGTACCCGCTCTTTCCTCATCCGGGCTTCCAGTTCCATAATAAGCCAATGGACGAGAATTTAAGCCGGTAATTTTGTCCCCACCGGCTCTAGGTTAATACATCCTTGGTTACCACAATTAATGCGACTGCCCTTCTAGTATATTGCCACTCTAGTTGATTCACGCCAGTTAGTTGGTACTGTCTCTTCCTTCCAGACCTGTTCGAACAGGGAGGTCAGTGTGTTAGAGAGGAGCTCATCTCCATGCTTAAGTAACTCAGGTATAAGAGAATCCGGACTAGTTGCTCAAAAACGATTGAGGACTACGATCGCGTTTCGGGCTCTAACCTTCGACTGAACCTTTAAACTAACCGACCATAACTCATCCTGCACCTTCTGAGTAGGGAATCCAGGAGCAGGACGCCAACTGAACTACTCCCGAAAATGCTTCGCTCAACGAGCTAGGGGGTGTTCCCTATTGTGCATTAGTGCACCGGTGACGTCCTTGATTGTCACAATGAAGCATACCTTAATGAGACCAATAGTGCGGATCAGCTAGGAGAGTCTGTGGTAAGTGCCCGCTGCTCTGGACTCTTCCATTTCCGGAGCTCGTTTGGTACACAATGATTCCTTGTCAGTGTATAGGGTGTTTGAAGTCACACATAATAGTCTGTATGGTAACAGTGCTCCTGGATCCCAAGAGATGGCCAAAGGGATGAGACGCATGCTTTGTAACCCGAAAATCATCGGCTTGAATATGCGTAGTTGTGGACAACATCGTATAATCCCTTGCCCTCGCGCGACTGGTGGTGGTCACGTGGCAGAGAAACGTCGGTGTACTGTTGATATCTGATGTAAGGAAGTTCACAGACAGCTGGGATATTCCCAGTGGTTGGTGCCGCAAGAAGCATATACTGACATCAGTCTACGGGCCGCAAGTACAAGTTGCAGCGTCGTGTATGATGGCCTAGGCACTAGACCAACGTAATTCCAGCGGTGAAGAACATGTCGAGAACTATTTAGTTGCTGCAGGTTTTTCGTCGCCAATCGAAGCAACATCACCATATCCAGTGTAAACCCGAAGGAATAAGACCGGGAGGCATGCGGATGGGAGCCACGTTTCATCAACGGAGCCGGCCCACACTCCTTCACAGGCAAACAAAAGCACGCTGTATTTGGGGATTCAAGCGCACACAAGGCGGTGGCTGGACCGTAGTCCGCTCCACACTGAGTGCATGGAACCGCTCTTTGAGCCTAGCACGGCCACAAGAATCGTGCACCCCGTCCCCTCCAGCAACGACCAACTGTCTCCTGGAGCCAGTATGAACGAGGTAGTGGGCAATAGACAGGTAGGCACCTTGTCAACATGCACATCAAGCGCAGCCACCCCGGGGATATCAAGCAACAGCCATACACTTTAAACGACAAGCTGAAATAAAATAAATCCACTAATGCATACAGATACGGTGGCATAACTCTTCCCTAAATTAGCATATGAAGTAAGTTGGTTAGAAACGAATCCGCGATAAGGAAAAATGTCCACAAACTACTTAAAAATACTACAAACGCAATATTGTTAACGAAAACAACCCCAATTAACGTAAGCAACGTGGCCAGTTGATAGAACATTAGTCAGGTAGGCAGAACAAAACAAATAAAGTGGAATGAATTTTATCCAGCTTAAAAAGACCTAGTTTAAGTGTAAGTTGGTTTGGTCCAACTGCGGTGAAGAAGCATCAAGAATGCAACATCAGCCTCAGCATGGGGCAGTTGAGTTACATAATGTCAAGAAAACATACAACGAGTGAAGACTCCGCGACTAAGACGATGCGAAGGGGCTACGAAAATAGGACAAATTATGTGGATTTCTAATAGCTTAACAGAGCTAATGAGTGCTGTGTCAAAACAAGCAGTTTATGGTTCAAAAAGACACATGGTTGTGTCTTACTGGACGCTTTCGTCCTCTCTTCGTGCGATGGAGTCGCGCAGCGCGTACAATTGTTCCAGGGCGTAAAGTTGCCGGTGATTGAAGTTTGTTCCGGCAGCGTGTTTGTAAAGATTCATGTATCCAAGTGGATCGAAGGGCGGCTTTGTGTAACACTGCAAGGGAACGGGAGCGGTCCAGGAATGAGTCAATGAGATTTATGTCGGTTTAGAAAAGGCCGATATGATTAGAAAGTGTTACATGGGAATGGCGTTGTGGTGAAATCTAGTGGCTAAACAAACTAGTTCCCCTCAGAAAAGTAGCATCGTCTGCCGGCCAGAAATGTAGAGCAAGGCGATTGGAGTGGGTTAACAGTGCAGCACTCCATGTGCAACTGCACAAAAGGTATAGTATATGATTATGTGGATAAAAAATGTGTCAGCTGTACGCCGTAACGGCGCTTCGCTGCCGCGCGACCATCACGTCGCGCGCGGGCTGAGTATACCGTGAGGACGCCTACCCTTACGCGGATTCGAACCGGTGACCTTATGATTGCAAACCAAACGCGCAGGCCACTCGGCCTTCGGCCGACGCGGATAAAAATAAAGTGTACAAGAGTTTCAACAAAAGGTAGGCGGTAGCATAAAGAAACCTCTACTCATCCTGAAAGGATGAATCACACAGAGTTGCACAGAATACATCGCTTGGTTAGTGAGCGAGAAGAATGCCACACAAGATTATTGTTTAAAAAAGTGCGCCAAGCAACAACTTCCGTCGTTGAAGAGGACGAAAAACGTCCGTATTTCTAAGTGACCAGTGAATGTTACCTTTAGCGAAGGAACGAATCCGTTCACCTTACCTAATAAGAACCCTGCAGCAGCAGTGCGGTAGATTTATCTGTCTTCAAGCATGTCGCAAAACTAACAACAAAAAATAATGAGGATAACGATAATTCGAGGTGAATCGGTAGCAAATAAATATCAGAACGAATACTTAATATTTAAAAATCAGGGAGCGAACATAAGAGGGTCAGTAAATTCGTTGTCATGCCCACTAAGGTATCGACTGATACGGCCAGTCCGGAAGACATCATTAAGCAAGATAACAGGAAGTAACCCGATTCAAAGCTCTGATGAGTTTCTTTATGCATTATACTCATGTCACTGACTGGTTTACCTCCAGGTTTCACCCAACTGAGTGTTATGATAGCAATCAATACACGTAGAGGTAGGCAGGCACCAGTGGTTGACACTGAGAAATTTTTAATGCTTCAGCGCACAGCGGCCACATTTCTGGTCGTTAAAGTAACATTAATCATACCGCAACGTTTTAAAACTTTCCTTGAGACCGAAAAGTATACACCCCGCCGTCTCGGTAAATGGCTGAGGGTTTGAAAAACGACAGAAGCCATAGCAAAGCGTAAAGCAACTTTTTGGGTGGTACGACCACGTTTGATACAGCTGCCAGATAAGTGAACCCATCCAAAACTTCGAGTGGCTGTTCCGTGACAGCAAGAATTGAAGGTGAGTCGGCTCAGTCTTGCAACAGCACTTTGAAGGTGTGAAGCACATGTCTAACCGTGAAGAGATAAACGTTAGCCAATTCAATGGCGTTTGTATTTCAACTGGAACAGCGTACTAAATATTTGATCGTTGGTTACCAAGTAGAATTTCAGATTCCGGGAGAAGTGGAACGAAGTAAGAGAATCATCCAGGTAGTTTCCCCCACAAAGGTTGAGAAAGAGAGATATTGGGCATCCCTAATTCAACGCACTTTTCGTGGCAAACGCAGGAAAGAGTTTCCTGTACACCCTTACGTAGTCACAGGAGTGGCCATAACGCAACTCTGACACCCCATCAAGGATAGTCATCGCCATAAACATGTGCGATCAACAAAGCCAAAAGCGATCTTCAGATCAGAGGCTATCACGATAAGCTGTTTGTGGTATCTGAAGCACCTGTCGGACAGCAAATATGCGACCAGTGAACCTTTCCAGGGTGGAAACCAGCCAGATTTTCATTGATTCATCTTTTGAGAGGACCAGTGGACCGCCTTAGTAGTTCAGAGGCAATTGAGATCATATTGATCCGACGATGGATTTCACACGTGGTCTCTAGGCGCAGTTTAAAGAAGAGGGATAGTTGATAGCTGCAAGTGAGATGGCGTTTCCTCCTTGTGTTAGTGCTTTATAGACAAACAAAGAAAGTTGTTTGGGCCAGACATTGTGCTCTGATTCAGCAGCGCCAGCTCGTGACGGATTTCGTCGGTGATTTAACCTAATACGTCAATGTTCCAGGTGAATGCAGTTGACCTAATTACCAACCTTGACTTACTAGACCGGCTAAATTGCTCTTCAAAGTGCTCAGCTCAGTGTTCTAGTTATAGTGATCGAGACGTATTCAGCTGCCCATCTTGACCAGTTCCTGTCTCATTCAGGGAAATCTTTCTTGTATCCGCGTGTCGAATAGAAAGGTTGGAAGGGCACTGGTTTATTGCCGATGGCGCTGGCCTTCTTTATTTCATGGGTCTTCGTAAGCTGCCAATGCTAACTGTCATTGCTGAAACTCCTAGTCAGGCAGCGTTGCAGTGTTACGCACACCCAAAGGATCATAACACGACGGGACTCTCTCCCACTCATTACTTAGGCCAATCGAAATTTCAGCGGTTCATCCACGATTTGGACGCCCCAAGTTGAAAACAAGCCATCTAGAGTGCTGATTGCGTAGCAAATCAAATCGAGTTCATGCAGCATCTGGGTCGTCTACTTCATCCGCCAATGATAGCTGATTATGTAATTGACAAACATTTCCGCTTCTTAGCTTACGTATACAGCCCTCGAGCAGCCATCTTCGAAATTGGGCACTTTGTCTAGACAACATAAGTGAGTGTTAGGCAGATATGATAGGAATCATGGTCGAAATCGAGGCGTGCTCTGGATGAAAGGACAAACTTGTACTGACACTTATCACCCACGGATAATGGTGATGTAGCCAAGCTGAGTCTAGGACACTGTCGCTCGCTGGGCCCCATGTAACGCGATGTAAACACTTGTATTGTGAAGCTGTGTTACTGATATAAAAGTTGTGATTGACGCACAACTGGAAAAACGATAACAATTGTCAGTACTACAAACATCAACTATGAAATAGCCTCCGACGCGATGTTCTGGTGCTGGTAGACAACCCACTTGAGTATATACGTAGCCAACAACGATCATCGCGGCTGTGATTTTGGACATTCGAACTAAGGGAGAGAACAGCTGTTAGCAATCATCCCTGACAGTGTCCATGCTGGGGTCAATGCGAGCGTACGCAAAAAAATAAAAAAACGGTGGATTCAGCCGCTGCTTGTCAGCTCTGATGGAGTTCTGAAGCCGAATGGCACGCAAGAAATTGCTCGCCGGGACCCGATTTGGAAGTAAGGCCCCTGAATACCAGCAGAGAGCGATCCCGATACCATAAATACGAATGACCGTGAAATTGTAATCACCGGATACGCGAGATGTACGGGTCCCGTCATTGGAACTAGGGACTGATAAGTACAAGCACAAAGACAGTGTTGCACTGTATGCATGTTCCGGATTGTGGCATCCTCACGGCCAATGTACGGAGCCCTTTCTATTCGTTGCCCGCATCCTGTGACGTGTGTCAGTAACCCGCTCACCTAGTTGTCAATTGACCTAGTTTAGAAAAGTGGATCAATGCGTTGTACAACATGCTGGTTAGAATACACTGTTACCTTCCATGTGCCTGAGGTGTTTTGCTTTGCGATACTTCGGCTAAGAGCCAGTCAGTGTGCATGAGTTCCGTAAATGCTAAACTGTGACATTTTGGCGACGAAGGTTAAACTTGGAATAAATTACTATGAGCCATCTTACCCTGCCTGATCCCTTTTGGAAGGACACGTCGTCCAAGCCATCCTTTGCAGTTTGGAATCGTTGGAAACGAACCTTCTGTGACTACCTTGAGCTTTTCACAATTATACACCCCCACATCAAACTTCGTGAAACCCAATCTATCAAACTCCTGAGACAACACCTCGGTGCAGAAGGCCAACGGCATTTTGATGCGTTGCGTTTGTACGAAAACACATCCCTGACGGATTCCTTTAACGCCCTGGATGGTCTTTGGGGGCCACGGCAACATGTTTTTATTGCGCGACTAAGTTTTTCTCATCTACGACAGGGAGAAGAGGAGTGTTAATAAATTCATCAGTCGCATACAACAATCTCTTCCTGACTGCTGTTACAATGAAATTCCAGCAACGAAATTCGAAGAGACGATGGCGGTGCAATGCCTTTTGGTTGGCATTTGAGACGATAAAGCTGGAGAACGCCTGTTGTCAGAAAAGGAGAATAAACTCACTTGGGAAACAGCCTACTTACTGGCCAGACAATTGGAAAGCGTTGTGCAACAAGTAATTCAGTATCGAGGCGATTCTGCTTTAGATGCCATCTATGCGGTTAAATCTAGACTATTACCCACCAACAAATGTAGAAGCATGAAAAGGTTACTGATTGCAGACACAAACAGTCTACTTGTCATAAGTGCGGAAAGGTCGGACATATTGCACGCATATGTCGTTCGACTGTGCATCAACTACCGATACCCCGCCCTGCCCAGAGTACTGTTCAAACTGTGGTAAATACTGACGATCCCATATTCTATCCAATTTCGCACACAACCACATCACACGCAATGGGAATACCCCTGTACACTGTTGATTTAAATATTGAAGGTCAGTCAGTACGTCTGGAGATCCATACCGGGGCCTCGGTTACAATGATCAACAACTGAACTCTGCCCGACCTGGTTCTGACTCCGACTCAAGCTAAATTACGACCATACATGGGAGAAATACTCGATGTTTTGGGCGAGTGTGACGTGACACAAACAGACTGAAGAGACTTGGAGGGAACTGGTTACATTCCAAGCCGGAAATAGCACAATAAATCAAGAAGGTGGACAGTATTTCTGACTTACCTACACTCGTGAAAAGTTTTGCCGGTGTTTTCGATACAAACATACCCAGGAAATTACGTGATTTCAAAGCTTGCTTGAATATCAAGCCACATACTCAACCAAAATTTTATAAGGCACAGAGTCTACTTTTCGCAATCCGTCCGAAGGTAGAGTTAGAGCGATTACAAAAGGAGGGAATAATTTCACCCGTACGC